ATAATATACTTTTTGGTTAATTATACATTACATACAAGGTTGTATACCCTATAAAAAAAGTTTGTCCAAATTTTGTCGGCAATGTTCTAAAAATTTTCTAAAGTTATTCCGTTTTTCTTCAAAAAACTGCTCAGTATGGAGTCGATTTTCCGAACATACCATATATTGTACAATGTTTATACCTAATGTTGTTCACCCCAAAATTTCTTTTTTTACATCATGGTATAAAAATTGTACAATAACATATTGGCATCTGGAAAATCAACCCCATTTCAATTTTTTTGGACAATGCCTACAATAAGTGAACAAACTTTTTTTATGGAGATAAAATAAAACTGATATTAACATAATCCTTATGCTTATTTTTGCTATTATAAAATTCTTGGGATTTTTGTGATCTCAAAATTTTAGGAATATTACAGTGTAGAAGTGTAACTGACTCCAATACAACTAAAAAGTGCAACTGAAAACTATTAAAACAATAACTAACAAAGCACTTCAATCGATGTGTATAAGATTTGGTCTGAGTTTAGGGACTTTAGGTCTTACAGGTTTATTACTAGAACTTCGATAAGTATCTTTTTACTTCGAGTAAGGGTCCTTGTACTTATTGTGTTGATTTAATGCTAATGCCTTTACTGCATTTTCTCTTGATTTTAGATATACGGCTTATTTCTGTCATGTGATTTGGTAGACCCATGGGGTTACAAAATCATGATCAAATTCAAATTATGTAGATTCGGTAATAATGGATTTGATCACAAATGTAATCACTGAATTTCTTTATATAAAAGAAATTTGATTACTAATACAATCTTTCTTTTTCTTACTAATTACAGTAACAGGTTAACAAGATCATAGGAATAAGAAATTACAAATATTTCGAATGATACGTTTTATAAAGGAATTTTTAATACTACTTGGATATTTCTATTATTTTATTTTTCAAAGTTTTGATACTAAGCATTATCTCTATTTCAAGGAAAAGTCTCACAATATATATACTTTCTTTTCATACATAATATAATAATAACTATGTTAACTATTACAACTTTTACTATTTTACTAGATTTACAGGTAATTACAAAGATTATTGTACTTTGCAAAAAGATATAGCCTCTGCAGATCATGTTGTTGTGTAAGAATCGGAGGTTTTATAAATTTTAAGAGATATTAAGCTTTCAAAGAAATATAAATATAACCAATTGAAAATATAAAATAACAAACAATCTAGAATCTCAAATTTTCCAGATCAAAAATCATGCGGTTACATCTTTTTGCAAACTGAAATAATGTAATATTTATTTTAGGAATTTTGACGATCTAACAAAAACAGCTACTAAAACTATTTTTAGAATTTTTAGAATTTTCAAAATTCATACTACATCGAAAACTGCAGCACTTCTGGGGTGGTAATTTACCCTTTTACAACATATATACTATTTTAAAAAATCATAGTACTATGTATTCAAGATTCTAATTTTTCTTTTCACGATATACATATATATTAGCACCAATAGAGTTTAGTATATAAAATACACGTATTCATAATTTAATACCCAAACTATTGAAATTTGTTTTATTAAATTTAGATTGAAATTATCATACTACACTATATACCTCTAATGCTAATAATAACAATGTGCTAATACAATATAGTTAAACTAGGTATAATTGTTTTAGAAGTTAAAATAATAATCATATTTAATGACATATAATAGTTAAGTTTTCGACCTGAGATCCTATTATTATATAAATGCACTCTTTAAAAATTTCAATCAGTCAAATGCAAATAAAATTGGTTGTAATTTTTTTTTAAATTACAATAAATCCAAATTATTATCTTGTTTTCATAAGCCCATCCCAGATCTTTATTATTCAATAGTTGGTAAGTGAAACATATTATAAAATTTGAAACTCAATTAAACTTATTAATTTAATTTTTCTGTAATTGATTACTTTTAATACACTTATAAAGTATTAGTGAAATATGACTAAAAGTATACTTGCATCAATCTATAAAGACCAATTAAAATATTGATGCAATAAAGCTCCTAAATATCTTTTTAAGCAAATTGAAGGTATAAGTGTTAAAAAGTAATAATTAAAGTATATTATATTGATAAAATAACGAACAAGATCATTAAGAAATATAAAAAAGATACTGTATAATCAAACAAGCAAATATATTCTGATTCATTAGCTTATACTAACTTGAATCAAATTAATCTAAAAAAGATAGCAGTGCAAATTTGTTTTACTATAATTTTAAAAAAATTTATAGAATTGTAATAATATAGTGCGAAGCAAAATTTAATAATTAAGTGAATAAAGAAACTCAGATTATAAAATATATATATGTTTATACATAGTGCATAAAAGAGAAAAAAAGTATTGTTGTTAATTGCATGCTTTTATAAATTGGTCAAATGAAACAAAACAACCTACAAATTATATATAAAAATCTTATTTGTAAGTAATAAAGTTAACTAAATAGATTTTTTTATATAAAGACTGCAAATCATTTAATATTAATTAAATTTTATCTTTTATAAAATTTCAATGAATTCCAATCATATTGAAGATTATTTTACTCAAGAATTCTCTGATGATTTTAGAGAGTCTGAACCTGAATTGACTATTACTTCACCTGGCTATTCTAGCAACAATGAATCTTTATTTGCAGACGATTCCTCAGTTATAGATGATAATTTATTTGTGGATAAAGATTCACATATAAAAGAAACTTTATTAACTAATGAAAGTTTATCAAAAAATCATAATTTATCAGCAACATGTAATATTCATGAATTTTTCTGTTTGGTCATATTTTAAAAAACATCAAGCTCCAAACAAAAAGAGTATTGAGGTTACTACAGCCTTTTGCCATATTTCTGGATGTAAAGTATTATGTGCTTATCACAGATCAACAACAAATTTACTAGATCACCTTCGAAAAAAACATAATATAACTAAAGAAAGTGAATATAATAAATATATTCAACAGAATATTTCTGAAAAAAAACTTATTCAACAAAAGCTTGAACATATTCTAATAAAGCTACATGATTTAAGAAAACAAGAAAAAATAATTCAAAAACTTTTAAAACTAATTGTTGGAGAAGGACTTTCTCTTATTCTTATAGAATGCAAATGGTTTAGAGAATTTGTTAATTATATTAATCCTCGCTTTAAAATTCCATGCGTAAAAACTTTTTCAAAATATATATTTCAATCATACGAATATAGCACTTCTTTACTTAAACAAATTTTACATACAAGTGCTAATTCAATTTCTCTTACAGCTAATATATGAACATCTCGTGCACATTATTTATACCTTGGCATTACTTGTCACTGGATTAATAATGATTTTAAATTGTGTGAAACATTATTAGAAATTGAAGAATTTAAATACAAACATACAGCAGAAAGAATCGCACAATTTCTTGAAGCTGCAATGGAAAAATGGTCAATTCAAAATAAAGTTATTACAATGTCAACAGATAATAGGTCTAATATTTAGCAACTTTTTGTCACCATCTTTCTCATATAATTAACATCCCATGTGTTGCGCACACACTTCAACTAAGTGTTAAACAGAGTATTATTACTGCTAATTCTTTAATTAAGAAGGCAAAAGCGTTAATAGATTTTTTTAAATTTAATAAACAATTAGAACACTTAAAAGAAGCACAACAATCATTACATAGAGATGCAATATATGAGATAATACATGATGTAAATACTAGATGGAATTTGACCTTTTATGCTTTATGTCGTTTGTATATTCTCAAATTACCTATTCAATGGCTACTAATACATTAAGTTATGATGCTAAATTTAATATTCATAATGATGGTATTAAGTTTCAATCTAAAATTTTAAATGACGATGAATGGAAAACACTTTACAATTTAATCCATTTATTATATGAATTTGAAAAAGCTACAGCTCTTCTTGGTGGTTCAAATTATGTAACCTTAAGTGCAATGTTCCCTATTATACAATGGTTAATTTATAATTTGCACAATAATTATTCAAATATTGATGATACAACTATACAAGCTGTTCATAATACAATTTTGACAGATATGGAAAAAAGATGGGGAACTTCTCCTAGATATGCAATAATTGCATTATTCTTTGATCCAAGATTCAAATTATTAACATTTATTGAAGAAGTAAGTTTTTATCAAAAAGCTTCCAGGTTTAGTCAAAATTTTATATTAAGTTTTTTTTATATCAAAGGTTTTTATTGTAAAATTTTTAGTTAAAACTTATAAAACCTTTCTTATATCAATTCTTTTTTTATTATTATAGAGTGAAAGGCTTGAAATTATTGAAGATTTGTATTAAGAATATCAACAACTTTCTTCAACATCTACTAATCAGCTAATTCAATTATAGCGCAATTTACAACAAGAGAATAACATTCTTATTGAAAATGATTTTAATGAGTTCATTATACAACAAAAATCAAAACCAAATATGGCCTCATTTTTTAAATCTTCAATGAATCAAGATTCTGTTATTACTTCCGAGTTTGAGAATTATTTGTTTATTCCTGAAGTTTATACTAATCTTGAAGAATTTGATCCTATAACCTGGTGGAAAGCACAAAAGTCTACTTACCCAACTTTATGCCTACTTGCATGCAAATATTTAGGAATTCCAGCATCTTCAGTCCCCTCTGAATGGGCCTTTTCATATGCTGGAAATCATGTAACTATTAAATGAAACCGATTAGACCCGTCACTTGTAAATCAGCTTCTATTTTTGCACCAAAATATGTTATTTTTAGATATTTTTCCTGAATTAACATAAACATTTTTTTATTTTGTTTTTTTTTTATTATCATTATATGTTTTAAATTTAAATTTTTGTGCAGTAAAAAAATATAAAAAAATATATTCTGATATATAGTTTATTTTTAGTCGATTAGGAGGTTTATTAATAAACAGAATTTTATGCTGTTATATATTATTTAAAATAATTCTTTATTTTTAATTTAAAAACTCTTTTAAAATATCATGCATGCTCTTATGCTATAGTTTTTTTTTCTCGTTATTTTGTGTATAAGCAAAACAATCTCAAATTAAAACTTAGTTAACTAGTTATAATTATATAATGATATCAATATTAGCATAACCAATATCTTATAAATATTTAGTATTTATCCACAATATATAAATTTACTTTACATATTATACAACTAGTCAACTAACTAAAAATTAGTCGACTGATTAGTCAACTAAAAAATTTTAGTCAATTCATATCATTACATACAGGTACAAACTAAAACTATTTAGATAAATATTAGTAATTTAATTGTAATACACCATCCTGATACGCTTTAAATTAAATAAAATAAATCAAATTTTTACATATTAAAAGCAATCAAGAATATATATAATATAACTTATTTGTAAAAAAATTTTATAATTTTATAATTTTTTAAATATTTTTTTAAAAAGAATTTTATCATTTTATGCATATGCGTTGTAAACATTTATAAGATCAGATATTACATGAAATCAAAACAAACCAATTAGCAAATTAATTTAAGGTAAGGTCCATTGTTAAGCTAGGCCAGTATTAAGTAATAGTAAAAATGATTCTTATATCAAAATTAGCAAGAAATTTTTTTATTAGAATGCGAAAAGTGATTTCATAAGCAAAATTATTAAACTATAACCGATTTTTAGAAAAATTAGTATTTTCTTTTAATTTTACATTACACCTGATCTTACGATCTGATTGGTTGATCAGGTGGATGCATTACAATGCACATGCACTAAATTAATAAAAAAAGAAAAACTCTGCAAAATTTCATATAAGATTATTATAGAAAAAAAGTATAAAAAAAGATCAATGATCTCTCTCTTCTGATCACTTGCATTTAGGATTGAGAGTAATTTAGAAGAGACAAAATTAATCTATCTAAGAGTTCTTTCATCTTCAAAAACAGTATCAGAACAAGGGTATTTTCTCTCATTCCTAAGAAACATAGTACTTCTATCTTTGAAGTTTGCAAATACAAGAAAATTAAATTTACTAACTACTCTAATATGGAACAATTTACTGCATACAACAAAAAAGACTCTTATTCTAAAGAAAAAATTATAATAATAAACAGTTATCCAACAGTTTTAGCAGTTTTTATATAACAAAATATCAACAATAACAATACACTTAGTTGGAATGAACAAATCTCTTTAAAAAATATAGAAGGTCTTTCTGAAAAAAGTAAAGATCAAAACAATGAATTGGATACATTTATTTTTAAGACAAATAATGAAAAATTTAATAACAATGAAAATGCAGTACTAATAACAACAATATATATAAACCCATATGAGAAATCACTAACTAAATCAAGTTCTACTAAAATAAACAAAAACAAAGAAACTATAAATAAATCTTAGACAAGTTTCTTTACTAAAATTAAAAGAGGACAGTCAATCTTTTCTTTTTTCTTATCAAGAAATAATATAAAATCAAGAAATAGGGTATGGGTCCCATAGCTTAGCGGTTAAGCTCCCATGCCCCCACAGACAAGGTCAACGGTTCAAGTCCGGC